ATTGATCAGACCCGGGGCGCAAGGGTGTATCCCTCTTTTGTTCTAAGTAACACAAGTGCCTAGAAACCCACAGCCCCCTATCATATCTATAAGAACCTCTCTGCCGACCTCAGCTTGTGCGTGCCTAAAATTTAATTAACTGCGCACTGCACAACGTTTTCAATATACTTGTGGATGTTTGTTCGCCCGAAGACTAATTCGAGAGGCCATCAAGGTGTTCTCGACTTTTGCTCTTTAATAAAAACCTGCATTGCAAGCCTTCAAGAAGCCAATTCATATAACAAGACAAACACTTATCTCAAGCTGCTGAAGATAAAATACCACTGAATAAATATATAAAAATTATAAGCAAATATATGAATAACCTTTTTAAAACTATTTAAAACAAAATGAAACTTTCCAGTGCTGAGCAGATCAATATAAATGTGGTTCATATAAAATAACAAAACATAAACATTTTTACTTTCAAGCTTGTTATTAGGTTTGCTCACATTTGTTTTAAATATATTTTAAATATATTACTTTCTATATTAGAAAACTCTTTCGTTTATACTTACTAAAGAAAAATTCTGAATGTCTTAACATTTTTTTCGGTAAAAAATGTGCTTGTCTGCTTCAGAAATTTTGTTTGTGTTGTTCTAAAACTGAATTGATACCGACGACTGAAAGAGACTGAAATTTATTTGGTATAGAGGTTCGCTCTGGCCGATATGATTTCTAAGGCAGTTTAAGAATGATTGATTGCATGAAAAAGCAGACTGGCGGACAGTCAGGACCGAACATAGATTATACTACCGTCAATATGATCAATCAGGACTATATAATAAAAAAAAGTCGAATGAAGGCAAGGAATAGGGGTTTTGATAAACAACTATATTTAAATGGTTGGTTTATCTTCAGCATTCCTACAAGGTATCCTTCTTTTCCATAGAGTAAACAAATATCTCATTCTGTAGTTGTATCTATTCAAGTTTAAAATACTTATCGAGTTACCCTCGTATGATTCTCAAATGCCGTTGTAATTGTGTAAACAATCTTGTACTTAGAATTTAATGCCGTATCGTTTGTTAGTTTGAAGACTGTTATTTGTGGAGGCCTCTTACTAAAAACTAATCCGATGATATATGCAGCAAATCGGACAAAACAGAAAACTGAACGATTTTGGATTTTGGAAAAAGCGACTCAAATGAATTTTAATAGAGGTTCTTGGCAGTGAATTTGAGTCCGAAGGGCCTTCCACCAAGGAGGCATAGATTATCCGAATTGGAACAAAGATCTTTGAAAATAAGTTTGAGGCCGATCAAATGGAATCAAAATAGGTTTGGAATTTTCCAATGAGAAATTTCAGCTTCTTAGCTTTCACAGAACTTCATTACTTTTCAGGAGAAAAAATTTCGTGGCAAACAAATCTTTATTATCAAATCTTTAAGAAAGAATGAAATTGTGTTGGGTTGGGTAAAAAATTGTTTAAAATCTCGTATAGCCAAACGTTAAATGTAGGTATATCTAGGCATAATCATTCGGGTTCCAGGGCTTGGGAATAGTGCCAGTTTTGATTAAATATTTTATCATATCGGGGCCCCTCCGTTTAGCTTCTGCCGCGTCCGCCTTGGCTTTTTTCTCAGCTTCGGCAGCGTTTTTAATAGCTTGATAATAGCGTCTAGTCATCTTAACTGGAATGGGGTCACTTCTGCCTGTCGGTTTTTTCTTATCGCCATAGGGGAACGCCTCCCCGCCAGGAGTGCCCCATTCACGGCCACGTCCACCTACGCGCAATGGGCCGCCTTTAGAACTGTCATGTGAAACGTTTGCCGTACCGTGTGGACCACCGCCCCTATATCCAAAAACCCCGTCCTCAAATACTTGTTCAGCGGGTGCACCAAATGCAGTACCAGTGTATCGCCCACTTGCACCACAATCATAAGCGCGCCAATTGGGACGGTAACTGCTTGGATGTCTCGGTGGCACAGCTAAATCAGCTTTGTCCGTCTGGGTGCCGTTGTTGAAGAGACGGCGCATAGGTGGCGAGTCGCGATTCGCCATGGTCGCCGGCGGTGTCATATCGAAATTGAACTCCATTTCGCTGTCACTGGTATCTGTGAGCACCAGATGATCTACGCAATTCTGGATGCCACGTCGTTTGCACTCTTTTTGCAATGCGACCTCGAGATGTTTCTTCTCCAAGTTGTCGCGACATACGCACATCATTAACGTCTGATGGCAAGTGCATTTACGGAATCCTTTCAGTTTCAACTTGCGCTTGATCTCTCTCAGAGCTACAGCAAGATCGCTTTTGACCAGCTTAAACACAATGGGCTTCATGTCGACATTTGTCTTATTGAGTGGCCGCAGTGTTATGAAGATTTCGCCATTCTTCTTGCGCACGTTAAGAATGGGCAACTGGCGTTCCTTTTCCATTTCTGCTTCTCTTGCTTTTTTGCATTTATCTGGAGAGTGTTTCAAAAAAAACTTCATAAGCTTTTTAATCGGCTTGCGAACGAAGCCTGGTCGCCAGCCACGCTTACGTGCCTCCTCGCTCGAGAACCAATCCCATCCGTGACGGGGAGAGATAGATCGCATGGACTTTTTCACAGCTTCTCTAGCAATTCTTTGCCTGGTCAGTTCTCTACGCTCGGCGACTGGGAACGAGTTCTTATTTATGTGGGGCTCTTTTTGTTTATTCCATTCCGGGGTTGATTTTTGAATGCTTTGCTCCGCATTCTCAGTTGGTTTTATGGTTTTGATATTATTTAGAACAACTAATTCGGAGAATACACGTGAAAGAAATGGGCGAAACACATTAGACTCAGCAGTTGACGCACAAATATCTGCAGACGTCTCTTTGTCTTCCTCAGCTGTTTCGGGAACCGGCTTTGCATTGGTCTGATAAATATCCGCACACATTTTACGTACTCGACAGTAGGCACAGAGTTTTCCGAACTTGCAGGTGCACCGACATCTTTTTTCTTTATTTTCTACGGTCTCTTCCATACCTGTCTTATCAATGAAATCCGCGCAGACATCCATAGAGATATATGTCGATTTGCCTAGATTATCTATCAATATTTTGTCCGCTTCTGGCTGCTTGTTGGGTTCTTCAACAACTGGCATTGGTTTTACTCCGCATTTCGGACAGGCGGCTAGTGGCGGCAGCCATGTCATATTTGCCTGGCAATCGGGACAGTAGCGTCTGATCGTTCCGGTTATCTGTGCCGGATCATGGGCATTTTTGTTGCCATTATCTGGCACTGGTATGTGGGTGAAACATGGTAGAAGAGTACTTTCCTTCGTCTGGTACTGACTAGGAACACTGCAGTGACTGTTTAGATTGGGTGGGTTTCGGCAAGGCGGCTTCAAAGCCTTTGGCTGGTCAGAGAACGTCGTGATTAAGTCAACTGTCTCCTCACAGTCCTGTGCCATTTTCTGTATGTAGAAACCACGTCTTAGAAGATAGGTTTCGAGTATTAACTAGATTTATAAATACCTTTATCTCACAACATGCGGCGTCGCCAACAGGGTTGTGAAGAAATGTTACCGAAGGCTTAGGGTCATTGACATTCAAGCCCCCAAAGTTTTGTATACCAAATTTCGGAGTCTCGGCATCTTCAAATGCAGCAAGGCAAGGATCGCTGAAGCTGGGACATCTCTGGGACTCGGTCACAATAAATAAGATATCCTCTGCCTTGATGCTTTTGTCTTTGAAAATATTATGAACGCTACAAAACATGGCATAAGATTGACAACTAAGGCTGGATACATGGAATCCTTTACTTACACTATCTGTTTCTCACATTTTACGACCAGCCGGTAGAGCACCTCAAGCGCCCCAGTAACTTTCCCATCCCGTTCAAATGTGCAGGAATCCACTTTTATCAGCTCACTCATGTCTTCCTTGATACTCTCAATGACATCTTTGCGCAAACGTAGATGTCCAACGCCGAGAAGAAGACCGTTGTACATAACAGATATAGGTATTCCACATTCTTCGAGAGTTTGGCGGAGATCCGTCGGGCTCACAGTGACCGCAGTCTCAGAGTTGGGTTTGATATCCGTAACATTGATCCTGCTCGCAGTTATTGGTATGGATACATTATTAAACTTGACCTCAATTAGCAGTTCCTTGAGATCTTGAGTATTCACACTGGGTGACTTAATATTTGTCACAATTATGTCAAAGAGAAAGGTGCAGGTAGTCATTTCTTGTAACTTGCTAGATTTTTCTTTTAATATTCATACAGTTTAATAAAATCATTAAATTTAAATAAAAAACAGAAAATTTTGTGATGTGTCCTAATAATTGTATAGAAGCAAATGCTGCTATGATGAACTAATGAAATAAATGCTTTACAAAAAGGGCCATCTTTGACGAATAAATATTCTTGCAAACATATGTCCTATTGTTGGCTTTTGTACAACAACTTTATTTCCGAACGATTGTTCGTATTAGCTTTCTGTGAGCTCGGAGCTTCCTTTTATACACAAATACACAAACGCACACAGAAGCACGATCGCCGCTGTGTTTCTTCTCCTCTTCTAACAGAATATTTGTCATATTTTCGTCAAAGCTAATGCAAACTTTATTGAAGATAGCTTTAAAACTAGGTCTAGCTTGCATAAGACAGGAATGACAGACATGGCTATATTGTCTCGACAGCTGATACTAATAAAAATATAAATGTTTGAAAGAGTCGGAGTCTATAGAATTTAGTAGCGTCACAATTGTGGGAATAGGTAAATGACATATTAATTCTTGTGTATTAAACGAATATCCAAGTTTTTTTAGACGTTTACCCAGTTTTCTCTCGATTCCGATATCGAATGCCAAAAGTTTCTTTGTTTACTAATTAATTACATAAGATGGAGGCTAACAAGAGTTGATAAATATATAAGCGCACTGAGATCAGATAAACCTAGATCAGCGCAGAAAAGAGTCAAACAAGTCCTTTGTGTTTTTTTTTTTTTTGGGTTAAAAAATAGGCAATACTCTGAAAATCATTGTAGGCACACTGATCTACTATTTATTTAGCACCTGTAATAACAAGGATTGAGACACTGGTTGCCATACGAATTGCAGCATCCAGCAGTACAGGGATTAAAGCCCTTACCAAGGTGAGTCACAAATTCGATAGGCGGTGGGGGGATTAGCCGCAGAGCACGACGCCTACGTTGTGAATCGGTAAGTCCGTCCGGGCCAACAGTAGGGCGTTTCTTAGAAAAGGCTCCGTGGCTCTGCAAATACTTCATCATGTTGATGCCCAATTTCTTCTGTATCATTTCTTTCCTTTTGGCCTCTTCAGCTCTGGAAGGCCCGTCAAGTTTCTTTTCAAGCCGTTTAGGGACTCTAACTTCAAGGAGTGCAGCGGCATTCGATTTTGTTTTCGCAGCAGGGCTAGCCCGCATAGGTCCTCTAGAAGATTTCCGCCTAATAGCCTTATTTCTAATTTTGCCGCCCGGAGTAGCTGCCCCATGCACACCGCCACCCTTGCTCCCAAAGTAACCATCCTCAAACACTTCCTCTGTTGGAGCGCCGAAGGCTGTGCCCGTGTAACGATCACCGGCAGCACAATCATAGGCGCGCCAATAGGGGCTGTATTTGATTGGATACCTTGGGAGCGCAATTATATCCCTTGCGATGCACTGGGTGCTATGGCTAACGGTGAGTGGCTTTGGCACCGTCAGAGGCTTTGTAACGCCCGCTGGCGGTGACACATCAAAATCATACTCCATTTCGCTGTCACTGGTGTCCGTGAGCACCAGTTCGTTCACACAGCTCACCATGCCGCGACGCTTGCATTCTTTTTGCAGCGCATGCTCGAGATATTTCTTGTCGCAGTAGCTGCGACAGGTGCACAACATCAACGTCTTATGGCAGCAGCATTTGGGGAAACCTTTCGCTTTCAACTTCCTCTTGATCTCGCTTAGAGCCACAGCGAAATCGCTTTTAACTACCTTAAATACAATGGGCTTAATGTCAGCATGCTTGTTGTTGACCGCTCGCAGGGTAATGAAGATTTCGCCCTTTTTCTTGCACACGTTAAGAATTGGTGACTGGCATTCGTTGTCCACTTTCACACATGTGTCAAGTGCGGTTTTCTCTGGTAAGTATTGCAAGAAAAACCTCATAATCTTTTTGATGGACTTGCGAACAAAACCTGGCTGCCAGCCGTACTTGCGCGTCAGCTTGCTGGAAGGCCAGGCCCATCCGTGGTTGGGAGGTACGGCACCCTGTTGACTAACACAGGACTTGTGTCCTATTTTGCAGGTTATAGGCCTTTGCTCGACATTTAGTTTCCTTGATTTTACAGTGTTTTCCGCGGAGGAGCGGTTTATTTTCGGTAAATATGCTTTTGATTTACCTTTTGGTTTCACATCCATTTCTTGTGGATTTTTATTAGGCGACGAATATTGACCGCATTCTCTGCTGACCCCATGTGCCAGCTTGCTTTCTCTGATGTTGTACAATTCGCGAAGCTCAGAGAATACGCGCGCCAAGTGTGGACGGCACTTTTCTACGTTATTCTCTTCCAAGCAAATGAGCTCAGAGGATTTTGGGATTGCCTCAGGGCATGTAGGCTGGCCTTCATCGCCTTGAAATATATCTGAGCAAATTTTACGTATTCGGCAGTGCGCACAGATTTTTCCGTTCTTGCAAGTGCACCGACATCCGAGCTGTTGATCTTCGTCAGTATTTTTCGCAGCCGGTGCAGCGCAGAGCTTCGCGCAGTAATCTTCAATGTTGTCCAGGAACGGCTTACCCAGTAAATCGGTCACTATTTGGTCGGCTGTTAGTTTCTTTTCCTTATGGCGTTCTTCAATGACTGGCATGGGCTTCACACCGCAATTGGGACATGCGGCGAACTTGGGCAGCCATGACATATTGGTCAGGCAGACGGGGCAGAAGCGTATGGGTTTAATGGATGGCTTTTCAATTTCACTGATTGGCACCGGTATCACCTTTGGGTTGCACAATTCATTATTGTTGACCTGCAACGCGGGAAATTGCGAAAAGCGGGGAAGACTTGGTAAGGTCGGTGGAGGTTCAACTGCACAGTCAATTTCGTCAATGATTTGCTGAGGCTGGCCAGTGCGTTTGACAATTGAGTCAATAATTTGCTCACAGTCCTGTGCCATTTGCTGAAAATAGATGCGTTACCTAAGAAGCAAGCCTTTGAGAATTCACTGGACTAATAGCTACCTTCATCCCACCTGCGGCGTTATTCGCTACTGGGTTATGTATGAACGTGTCAGTTCGCCGGCGGTCGTTACCATTGGAGCTGCGATAGCGCATCAAATCCAATTTCAGGAGATCATCACCCTCATCTGGGTACATGACATCTGGACAAAGATCGCTTTGATTGGGACACTGTTGGTTTTCCCCCATAATAAACATAATATCCTGCGGATTGATGCTTTTGTCCTTGTACAGCTGACATTTCGATTCCTCCTGCCTGAAAGAATAATTGAGTATGCTTGTGTATATTCCTTCGCACTTTAACTTACTTTGTTGTTTCGTCGCATTTCGTATACAGGCGGCAGAGTATCTCAAGGGTGCCGACAATTTCACCGTCGCGCTCAAATATGCAGGTATCCGCATGCATTAGTTCACTCATGCCTTCTTCTATGCGATCAGTGAACATTGCCGGGAATTGTATTTGACCGGCACCGATAATTCTACCATTGTATATAACTGACACCGGCATTCCACATTTCGAGATGAACTTCTGTAGCTTGTTTGGAAAGTCTTTGAACTCAAGAGCCGAACCGGCTTTGAATTCGGTGACATTAATACGACTTGTTGTTATACGCAAAGATTGGTTGTTAAATTTGACATCCACCTGCAACTGGGCGGGATTTTGAATTTGTATCTTATTTGTCCTAAAATGAGTCACAATAACATCAAACAAATAGTTACACGACTCATGTTTGACATTTAATTTTTTCGGTTCCGAACGCATATTTTTTAATTTATTCTATTATATCTAAAAATCAACCAAACAACAAATTTGTTTATTTAACAATTAAATTTGTACACCAGATCTGTTAAATACATTCAACTCAAGTACGAAAGTTTGACTGAAATCTAAAAATTTATTATTGTCAAAATTATAAAATCAAATGGTAGTTTGATCAATAAACAGTAAAAATATATAAATATACAAATATACAAATATAAAAAAAAATTAGTAATAACGTATACTATCTTCTGCTATGCATTTGCATTAGGATCCCATGGGGTAGGAATAACGCCGCGTTTCATCAAGTATTTCAGCATGTCGGGGGTCTTTTTCTTTTCTTCCTCCTCCTTCTGCTTGGCTGCTGCTGCTTTCGCTGCGTCTTCTATAGCTTTATAATAGCGCTTGGGCATTCTTACAGGAATGGGAGCACTTTTGCCTGCTGTTTGTTTCTGTTTGGCACCGGGGAATGACTTTCCGCCCGGACTGTCCACTGGCCCAGTTCGTCCACCACCGATCATAGGTCCACCGGGCTTTGCACCCCAGATTGTCTTGCTTTTCGGTCTGCCACCATAAGTAGCAGGCACACCATGCGGACCACCGCCCCTATGGCCAAATAGGCCATCCTCAAATACGGTTTCTTCAAGGCTGCCGAAAGCCGTACCCGCATAGCGATCTCCCGCAGCACAGTCTAAGGAACGCCAGTAAGGGGTATATTTGACTGGATATATGGGCGGAACTTTTTGCTCTTTCACAGCTGTCTGCGTATTTCTGTTGACGGTGCATGGCTTTAGCTGAGGTGCATTTGATACTCCTGCCGGCGATGTCACATCGAAGTCGAACTCCATTTCGCTGTCACTGGTATCTGTGAGCACCAGATGATCTACGCAATTTTCCATACCACGTCGTTTGCACTCTTTTTGCAGTGCGACCTCGAGATGTTTCTTCTCCACGTTGTCGCGACAGACGCACATCATTAACGTCTGATGACAAGTGCATTTACGAAAACCTTTCTCTTTCAACTTTCTCTTGATCTCACTTAAAGCCACAGCAAGATCGCTTTTAACTACCTTAAATACAATTGGCTTCATCTCTACATTATTATTATTAGCCGCTCGCAGGGTAATAAATATTACGCCATCTTTTTTGGACAGGTTGAGAATAGGAAGCTGACGCACCTTTTCCTTTTCAGTTTCTACATGTTTCCTGCATGTATTAGATGCATTATTTTCGGGCGAGTAATTCAAAAAGTAATTCATAACCCTCTTTATTGGCCTGAGAACTGCGCCAGGTCGCCAGCCATACTTGCGTGCCTCTTGGCTTGAGGCCCAAGCCCAGCCGTGTCGACGAGAGACAGGTCTCATCGGCTTTGCGCAATACTTGTGTGCTTCACTGACGTGACGCGGTTTGAATGATTTCTTACGAGTTTCAGCTGGAGTGGCTTTTTTCACCTTGTGTAATTGGGATACAGGCTGTGGACCGTTCTCTTTGCATGTATCAGATCCTCGCTTATTGCAGTTCAAATCATATAGTACACGTAATTCGGAAAAAACACGTGCTAGAAATGGGCGGGACTCCGCAGAATTAACCATAAACAGACAATGGTCCACGCTGCACTGCGACTCATCTGATTTCTGCTCAGTTTTTCGACTTAAATCGGGCTGAAACAAGCCTGGGATTAGTTTAATTACTCGACAGTAGGCGCACAGTTTGCCAAGTGTGCACGTGCATCGACATCCAGTATTTTCTTCAGCGCGCTTATCACAAGGATCCTTACAGATATCGCCATTGGCCGCCGGAAGCTTACCCAGATAATCAATCATTATATTGTCTACGGTCAGTTCCTTTTGGTTGTAATGTTCTTCAAGGACCGGCATGGGTTTGAGTCCGCACTTGGGACAGGCGGCAAATATTGGTAGCCATGATAAATTGTTCAAGCAAACTGGACAGAATCGTATATTCTTATCCTTTGAGACATTTCCATCACTGGCTGGCTCGGTTGCAAGCTTAGGGCTGAAGGAATTACGCCCAACGTCCTGGGTTGGTGGGAAGTGCGAATTGAAGGGAAAATTTGGTTTTTGTATAGCTGGATAGTTTGAACTGTCACAGGGTGGACCACATGGACTTCTCAGTGCATCAGCTGTACGGCAAGGCGGCTTCAGGGAACTAGGCTTGCCGGTGCGTTCGATAATTGAGTCTATAGCTTGCACATACTCCAGTGCCATTTTCTGTTAAATAGAAATAAAGCCAATAAGTTGGAAATTTTAGCGATAAAAATCTTGTAGACCAACCTTCAACTCGGAGCAGACAGAGTCGCTTACTGGGTTATGTTTAAATATTTCTTCATGCTTAGGCGCACCAATGTCCAAGCTGCGATAGCGGTCCAAGTCTAGTTTGAGGACCTCATCGCCCTCATCTGGCTGCCATGTATCTAGACAAGGATCGCAAGGGGAAGGACAACGCTGGGACTCGCTCATTATGAACATAATATCTTGCGGGTTGATGCTTCTATCCACATTGCGACGGCACTCGCTCTCCTTCGGTCTGAAAATTGACTGTGCTGAGCAGCGGTCAGATCTTCGGAGAAGTTTACTTACATTTTCACTTCATCGCATTTGATAATCAGACGTACAAGCACCTCAAGAGAGCCAGTAACTTGAGCCTCCCGTTCGAATTGACAGGTGTCCACATGTATCAAATCAGGCATACCCGCGACTATGCTATCAGTAAAACTTTGGGGGAAACTTATTCTGGCGGTCCCGAGAATAGAACCGAGGTACTTCACTTTAATGGGCATTCCACATTCCTCTAGGGTTTGGCGCAGCTTTTCTGGGAATTTATTGAACTCATTACCTGAGCCTGGCTTGAAATCTGCTACATTAATCCGGCTCGATGTTATAGGAATCGTTCTTTTATTAAATTGGACCTCAATTTTAAGTTTCTTGGGATCTTCAATATACACATATTTTGACTCAAAATGAGTCACGACAATGTCAAATACAAAATTACAGACTGTCATTTTAATAAAAAGTGGTTTGTTGTTATCGTTTGCCTCAATATAAAAATGTAGGCAAATTTATTCGGATTTTCGTCCTAATTATGAAAAAAAAAATGAGAAGAAAAACCAAACACGTAAATTTAAAATTGATTGGCAATTTTTATTAAAGGAATTTTGGGAGTAATGTACACTAAAACATTGCACTTAAAACTAAATAATTTTTAAAATGCCTGTAGCATATCAAAACAAAAGCAACTATGATGGAAAAACTGTTTAATACAAATTCTAAAAAGCATATTATTTTTAGTATTCTCGTTTAAAATCGTGTGATTTGGATCGTCTGCTTATCGTAACAAAAAGAAACTTTTCGTTTTGCTATCCATCCGTGAACTTACCTTTTTTTTTTACAATTTTCAAGCTAGAAAATATATTTGTGGTAACGAGCATACGCTTAAGCAATCTTTAAAAAAAAACTCCAGTGGTTCATCAATTGTTCCCATATAGCTTTATACTAAATATTTACTATATACTTATATTATATTGCTGTTACGCGTACATATATACATTTCCAGTGGACATATTATATATACGTTAACAAAATTATCATATTGACTATATATCTAAGGCTAGAGGTTATTATTCGACTTTTCCCGACCAACATTTGTATATGTAGTATTTGCAGCATTCTTGCTTTTATGGCTTGGACTTTTCGCCAACCATCGATCAGGAATACCCGTTTTATGTAATGTGATCCCGACCTGCTGCGGTCCATGTTTTTGTTTTATTTTTATAGGTTTCTAAGGGCTACAATTTGGCTAGATGATTTTCAGCTGGGCACCTCAAAACGCAATTCCGTATAACCGATCGCTATAAATAAATATTATATACATTTAAAAAACAAAACTTTATATCAATCAAAATGAAGGGCGTAATACCCATAGTGCCCACAGGGAACAGTTTTTTTTAAACAAGAGTGCCTTGTCTATAGTTAGTCTCAGGCATTTGTGATATAAGGCATGGTGCCGCTGATGAATTTCCTCTTTTCTAGCTTCGTATAAATATGATATTCATAGAATGACTGAACTCACAACTCAGGTCATTTCCTTTTAGAACTCCGGCATTGATGCGTCTGACATTGATGAAGGCACAAAGGCACAGTTTCCGTCAATCAGCTAGAATTTAAATCGCTTAATTAGTGTAGGGCGCTCATGGCAAGCTTCCGTTAATAACCAGATTGTTATCAAAGAAAACCGCTTAGCAATATTTATTGTGTGCATGGTATAAAGTCGACTAACCCAATGTAGTTCTTCTGGAGTTCGCTTAAATTTTAAAATCAATCTGAAAATATACGACTCGGGCAACATTAATTGAGTAAATTGTCCACTTATTTATTAAATTATTTAGAACTCTATAGTGCATCATGGCGGGCTTATAACATAAATATTTAAATTAAGAGAATCTTTCTGAGCAGCGCACAGGCATCTTACATTTAAATTTTTTAAAAGCTCTGGAATCATATCTAGTAATATACTTCGTTCTGGCTCATAAAATGGCTCAGAGCTTACTTTAACACACGCATCAGATGTGCTTCAGTGAATCGATTAATGCACAACCCCAATGATGGTTCAAGAATTCATGTACGCAATCTAAAAAAGACATCTGAAGATTTTGTTCCATGTATGCAATTAGCATATGCTCGAAAGTACGCGATCTGCTCTTAGCAGTAGTAGGCACATGAGTCGTAGCACTGTGCCCCACATGGGTTATAGCATCGGGCCGCATGAGAATAACAGCAGTCAGCAGCATAACCCTTACCAAGGCGGGTGATGGTGTCGATTGGGGGCATGGGCACTTGGAGGAGAGCGATACGCTTGCGTTGTGCGCTGGTGAGGCCATCCGCGCCTATCATGGCGCTAGGCTTAGTCTTAGGACCTTTGCCAGCGTCGGGATTGTTAACACTCCATGGTCTAGCAATTTCGCCGTGATCTATCATATATTTCATCATGTCGGGACCTTTCTTTTTCTTTTCTGCTTTCAGCCTCTCGGCATTTTTTTCCGCTTCAGCAGCCTCTAAGGCAGGTTTCAAAAAACGCTTAGGCATCCTCACTGGAATGGGCTTATTACCATTTCCAGACTTATCTTTACTATGCCCAAATGGCATCTTCGCTAGATTTCCTTGTTGTCGAATAGGTCCACGCATAGGTCCACCGGGCTTATCACCCCAAATAGCTGCGGGTTTTGGCCTACCTCCTGGACAAGCAGACACACCGTGTGGCCCGCCACCTTTACTATTAAAGGCGCCATCCTCGAAAACAACTTCACCAGGACATCCGAAAGCCGTGCTCGTATAGCGATCGCCTGCTGCACAGTTATAGGCTCGCCAATAGAAGCTTTGCGGCTTTGGATACTTTGGTTGCACTTTTAAGTCGGGCTTGGCCGTCTGTGTGCTACGCGCGACGGTGTGGGGCTTTGGTAATGGAGGCTTCGCCACCCCCGCCGGTGGTGTCACATTGAAGTCAAAGTCCACGTCGCTTTCACTCGTGTCTGTGAGCACCAGATCATTTACGCAAGTTTCTATGCCACGACTGTGGCATTCCTCTTGCAGTGCGTTCTTAAGCTTCTCCCTTTCCATGAAGGTTCGACAGGTACACAACAATAAGGTCCTGTGGCAGGTGCACTTGCGAAATCCCTTGTCCTTGAGGTTCTTTTTTATCTCGCTAAGAATCTTAGCCAGTTCGCTTTTGACCACCTTAAATGTAATTGGTTCCATCTTAGCGTTATTATTATTGATCGCTCTCAGGGTTATGAAGATTTCACCATTCTTTTTGGACATGTTCAGAATGGGAAGTTCTCTTTCCTTCTTGATTTCTCTTTCTTCTACTTGCTTGCATACATTATGCTCTTCCGAGTTACGTAAGAAAAATTTCATAAGCCTTTTAATAGGCTTAGATACTGTCCCGGGACGCCAGCCAAACTTCCGCGCCTCCTGGCTGTTGGCCCAATTCCAGCCGTGACGACGCGAAACCAGGCCCGGCCCAGCATTGCAGGTTTTGTGGCCTGTATTTGTATTTGGGAGCTTGCGATTGGGCTTCTTTGAATTCTGGACATTAATGCAACGTCTTGTCAATTCTCTACGCTCTGCAATTGTAGTTCTTTTTTTCTGATTTTTACGGGACAGGCTAAGTATATGTCGGGATTTCTTTCGTGTCGACTGTTGATTACATTCCCTTTCAAGCTCAGACGCCCGCTTGGTGTTATCAATGCTGTGCAAATCGCGTAACTCAGAGAATACACGAGCCAGGAATGGGCGAGACATTTCTGATTTGACAAGCGATAAACAAATATCGCCGGTTGGATCTACCTCACTGGCCTCAGACTCGGGCGCAGACTCCACGTTTTTTTCAGATTTAAAGAAATTTGCGCACATTTCGCGTACTCGGCAGTGGGCACAGAGTTTTCCGAACTTACAGGTGCATCGGCACACTTTACTAAAATTTTCCTCAGCGGGCTTTGTAGACAAACTCTTACAGTAATCTTCAATAGTCTCCGGCGGCTTGCCCATATATTCAATTAGTACATCTTTCGCTGTTGGCGTCTGTTCCTTCTCAATATTTATGACCGGCATAGGTTTAACGTTACAATTTGGACATGCAGCGAATTTCGGCATCCATGACATATTGTTCAGGCAGACAGGGCAGAAACGTTTCGGATTGGTTTGGGTCACCGTCTCAAAATTGATTTCCCCGGGTGGCACCTTTGTGTTCTCTTGCGAAACGTTTGACGGACAAGGACTTCCCAGTTTTTTGGACATCTGATCAGGCCCCATGAAAGGCTGCGATTGACCAGTGCGCTTTAGAACCGAGTCAATAATTTCTCCATACTCTAGGGACATTTTCTGTTAATGAGAGAGACAGAGACAGAGAGAGAGAGCGAGGGAGAGAGAGAGCTTTAGAAAGCTTTGGAGAAAACGCCCGTTTGGGACTCACCTTTAGCTCTCTACAGATAGAATGGCCTGTGGGATCATTTGTGAAAGTTTCAATGGGCTTGGGGGAGCCAACAGAGACGCTTTCATAGCGTTTTAAATCTAAATTTAGGCGCTCATCGCCCTCCTCTGGCTGCAGTGCATCCAAACAAGGATCGCAAGGGCTTGGGCATCGCTGGGACTCGCTCAGAAGAAACATTATGTCTTGCAAATTGATGCATGTGGCCATACTCGGAAGACAGCCAACCTCTCCTGTCCTGAAATATGATGAGAGTTCAATCTTGAGTCTTGACTGACGCCAGTCACAAAAAACCTTAACTTACTTTGGCTTATCTTCGCACTTAATAATTAAACGGCAGAGCACCTCAACAGTGCCTACCTCTTCACCTTTTTCCTCAATTTGACATTTTTCCGAGATCATCAGATCAGTCATTTGGTCTACTATGCTATCAGTGATGGTGTTGGGCAAAATGATCTGACCGGTACCGAGAGCGCGACCATTGTACTTGACCGAAATGGGTATACCACATTTTTCTAGGTTCTTGCGCAGCTTTGCCGGGTCCTCCTCAAATTCAGTGCTAGAACCGACTTTAAATTCGGTAACATTTATGCGGCTTGCTGTTAGGCCTACTGTTTTATTATTAAATGTTAAAGTTACTTGCAATTTTTTGGGGTCTTTAATTTGTACGTTTGGTGCTTCAAACTTTGTCACAATGGTGTCAAAAACAAAGGTACAATTTTTTAATTGGTTGGATTTCATTGTAATTTAATAATTTCGTTTATGCAATTGTTAATATTTCAATGTGCAAATGAAAACAAAGATAATGGATATTTAATGTTGATGAACACAATTTAATAGCACAATTTTGGGTTGTGTATATTTGTAAAGTAAAGTGAATAATATGAAAATATAGTTTTTATAATGAACACTAGTACATAAACTACTGTGATAGACACAATTATAGAAAAGTTCATTTCCCTTCTGCAATTCTATTGTTCATTGGCTTAAAGAAGATTGAGTTCCTGAACATATTTTTTTCACATCCGTAATTCTAGGTTTTGGCTTGAGCCTTGGTTCGTCAAATTCACCCAGATAAACTAAAATATTTTAATCTCTAAAATTTTGATATTTTAATTTATCGAAGATTATTCATATAGTTGCGCTGGGCTACCCAGTAGAACTTGGCTACTATTCAGAAGTACTTTATTATTATTATTTGCAAAAATATTAAGTTTGTAGGAACAATTCTATCAGTTGGCATGCAACAAGATAAATGACAATTTTATGTCATAAAGAATTAGCTTTTTAGACAACTAAATAACTTCTAAGCACTTTAATGAAGATCGGTGCTCAGAGGATTACACTTGCTCTTTCTAAGCAATAATAAAATAACTAGTTATGTGACATAAGCATATATTTTAAAAATTTAATAGATCATACAAATGGCATTTTTTTTGCCAGTCGACTGGTCCGTAGCCATAATAAGCACATGGCTGGGTTAGTAATCCCCACCGAATTCACAATTGCATTGAGCAGTACACGGATCAAAGCCCTTCCCCAGGCGCGTCACAAACTCAATGGGTTGCGGGGGGACTTGCAGCAGAGCGCGACGTCTACGTTGCGCATCGGTTATTCCGTCCGGACCAACATTAGATGCACCTTTTTCCTTATCCTTTCCCCCTAAAAATAGGCCATGTTTTTTTAAATACATTATCATTTTTTCAGACTTTGTCTTTTCACGAGTCTTTTCGAGATGAGATTGATTTAAGATATTTTTGGCAGCTAATTGAGCTCGCTTAGTCATTTTTACAGGAATTGGCTTACTGCCAACTCCTTTGGCAGCAGGGCCCCTTTTAGCACCGGGAAATGATTTTTCGCCCACTTGACTTATTAAATTACCATAAGGAGCAGAACGTCCGCCAGCGCGCATAGGCCCTCCGGAACTGTTTCCCCAAATAGCCTTATTTTTAGGTCGGCCGCCTAGAGTAGCATTTGCACCATGTGCACCGCCACCCCTATATCCAAAGACACCATCCTCAAACACTTCCTCTGCTGGAGCACCGAAGGCTGTGCCCGTGTAACGATCACCGGTAGCACAATCATAGGCGCGCCAGTAGAGGCCGCGTTTGAATGGATTATTTGGGAGCACGATTCGATTTTTTTTTGTGCACTGGGTGGCATTGTTGACGGTGAGTGGCTTTGGTAATGTACGAGGCTTCGCCACGCACGCCGGCGGTGTCACATCAAAATCATAGTCCACTTCGCTGTCACTGGTGTCTGTCAGGACCAGATGATCTACGCAATTTTCTATGCCGCGACGCTTGCACTCCTTTTGCAGTGCACCCTCAAGATGCTTCTTTTCAATGTTGTTGCGACAGACACACATCATAACCGTCTTGTGGCAGATGCATTTGGGAAAACCTTTCTCTTTCAACTTTTTCTTGATCTGGCTTAAAGCGACAGCCAAGTTGCTTTTAACTATCTTAAATACAATGGGCTTCATATCAACATGCTTGTTGCTGACCGCTCGCAGGGTAATGAAGACTTCGCCCTTTTTCTTGCACACGTTAAGAATGGGCAACTCACTTTCGAGATCTTTTTCGACTTCCAGTTGCTCCATGCACGCATCATATGCATTTTGGGGTGGCGAGTAATACAAAAAGAAATTCATAAGCTTCTTAATGGGCTTGAGAACTGCGCCGGGTTTCCAGCCATAGTTGCGTGCCTCTTGACTTGAGGACCACGCCCAGCCGTGGCGTCGTGGGACTCGGCGTTGCTTATTCGCACAGGTCTTGTGTCCTGCTAACCGATTATGGTTGTGGGAGTGATAATTCAGCTCTTTGTGGCCACTGCTTTGATTCGTTGCTTTAGCTTTCCGTTTTCGATTGAGGGATAAGCCCAAGTTTTGCATGTTCACTTTGTGCATTGCATTGCCTTCACATTTATCATCGAACAACGAGCCTCGTTTCATATCTTTGCTATAGTAGAGATCGCGTAGATCGGAGAACACTTTAGCGAGATGTGGGCGAGAGTCATCTGATTTTACACAATAATCTTGTTGTCCCCCATCGGGCAACTTAGAGGTTTGCCTCTCATCTGGCTTAAAGATATCGGCGCACAGTTTACGTATTCGGCAATGAGCACACAGTTTTTTCTCGCACGAGCACCGACATCTGGTCTGTACCTCCTGAGGTGAATTTTCTTTGCCTTTTTGGGCATGGGGATCCGCATATAGATCTTCACTGTTAACTGTCGGCTTACCCAAAAAGTCGATCAGTATTTGTTCGGCAGTCAGCTCCTTCTCATTGGGAGGGTCATCAACGACCGGTATGGGCTTGACTCCGCACTTTGGACAGGAGGCAAATATTGGTAGCCATGACATATTGTTGAGACAAACGGGACAGAAGCGTATGGGCATGATATGTGGGTTCCTTCCATCATTGATGGGCTGGCTTAGAAACCTTGGACTACAGAAATTATCATATTGTTCTGTTGGCAAGTAGGAAAAGCATGGTGAATTTTGTGGCTGTGGAGAATAACAGACTTCACTCGAGGAACTTCGCAGCTTCTCGGCTTTACGGCATGGTGGCACCGGAATAATAGAGTCAATAATCTCCTTACAGTCTTGCACCAATTTCTGTGAACAGAAATAGGGTATATAGTATTTGCAAAATGCGATCCATATCGACGCGCACCTTAAGTGGTGTAAGAGCGGCGTTGCCAGTGCTATTATATGTGAGAGATTTTGAGTCCCGAAGGCCGCAAGCATTCGAGCTGCGATATCGTTGCAAATCCAACTTCAGGCGCTCGTCACCTTCATCGTCTTCCAATGTGTCTTGGCAAGGTTCGCATGGGATGGGGTACGGCTGGGACTCACTTAAAAGAAACAGGATATCCTGCTCGTTGATATTTTTGTCTACATTATATTGCGCATTGTTTTCCAACGGCCTGCAAAAAATGAACAATTGCTTAAGCTTGCAACTTGAGCTCAATCAGCTATACGAGAATCTGTACTTACATTTGCTCATCATCGCATTTAATTATAAGACGGCAGAGCAACTCAACTGTGCCTACAACTTCACTATTCCGTTCGATTTTGCAGGTGTCTGAATGTATCAAATCAGTCATACCTACTGCAATCCTTTCAATGATGATGTTGGGAAAACTTAACTGACCTGTGCCGACAACGAATCCGTCATACTTAACTAAGATGGACATTCCCAATTTCTCAACATTTTGGCGCAGGTCTTCTGGTGTTATCTCAAAATTAGTGCCAGAGCCAGGTTTGAAATCGGTTACATTGATCTTGCTTGCTGATAAACATATTGTCATCTTGTTAAATTTAACCTGCACTTGAAGTTTATGTGGATCTTGAAGATTTAGGTGTGATAACTTTAATTTTGTCACAATAACATCAAGGACAAAGTTACACAATCTCATTTTATTGATGTACAATTTTATTCTTGCTTATGTTAGGTTTCGCTGAATTTGTACGCTTTATAAAATGTGCGCATAAAACCCAGAACTGGGAAATTTAAAAATTATGAATACAATTTTTAAAACAAAACTAGGCTTGCGTGTGACAAGACTAAAAAAAAATAAATGTACAGCTTTGTGTTGAAAAAGAAGGCATGGGGTATTACAAAAATGATGCTTTTTTCATTTCATGACACAAATGTTTTAATATATTATTTATTTTGCCTGTGTGAGGAGAATACATCTCCGATTGCAATCTCCCAGGCAACCTTATGTTTAAGTGCGAAAATGGATTCCGAAATAATCGAAATAATCGTTAAGATGATCTAGCTGCGATTTATTCACATAATCTTTTGTTTTTATTCCTGTTATACATTGGGAATTCATGTGTCTCTGTGTGTATGGACATTAGGACTGAATATATTGTAGAGCTTAGCTAACATACACGAATGACGTATGACTGACAAAAATGACTTATTAATCACAACCGAAGTCTAAACAAAATTATATACAGTGGCATGGCATCGTTTTTAACTAAAATTAACACATATGCCTACTGTCGGGCAATATTCCATTCAAGTGGAAAACTTTCCGAAGAACTCTCTTTCGACATATTGTGTACACCGTTGTGTACAGTCTCTTCTAAAATTATAAATCTTCTCTATGATTGGGACGCACGAGTCTTAACAGTAGCAGCATGGATAGCAACACTGAGCGACACACGTATTGTAGCATTGGCAGGGGTCGTAGCCCTTACCCAGGCGGGGCATACTGTCAAGTGGTGGTACGCATGTCTGCTGAAGAAGGCGTCGCTTACGTTGCGCATCGGTGAGTCCATCAGGACCCAGGACTGGTCCAGATACAACCGGTTTCTTTGGCTGAGGGTTATTAGGGTCCCAGGGTGTAGGAACGGCGCCATGTTTCTCCAAATACTTTATTAGGTTGATTCCCTTTTTCTTACGTTCAATTTCATTCTTGATTGCTTCTTTTTCGGCTTTAGCAGCATTTTTAATGGCTTCAATATGACGTTTGAGCATTTTTACTGGGATGGGTTCGCTTTTACCCTGTCCTGGCTGTTTTTTATTACCGGGGAATGATTTGCCGCCGAGAACGCCTCCTGGACCACCACCTCGTGTTCCGTGGATATTGGATGCTCCTTGCGGTCCGCCGCCGCCGTAACCAAAAATGCCATCCTCAAATACATTTTCACCGGGACCACCGAACGCTTTACCGGTGTACCGATCACCTGCAGCACAGTCATAGACGCGCCAGTATGGACTTAGTGTAATTGGATACTTTGATGGTACTACTAGATCTTTCTTATTAGTTTGTGTACCGTTGTTGGCGTTCTTGCGTCGACGTGGTGGCCGAGCCGATGCAGCCGGCGGAGACACATCGAAATCATACTCCATTTCGCTGTCACTGGTGTCTGTGAGCACCAAATGATCCACGCAGTTTTCCATTCCTCGCCGTTTACACTCCTTCTGCAGTGCGTATTCGAGATGCTTCTTTTCTAGGATGTCGCGGCAAACACACAGCATCACTGTCTTATGACACGTGCACTTGCGGAAGCCCTTGTCCTTCAGCTTCTTTTTGATCTCCCTGAGGGCTACGGCCAGATCGCTTTTGACCACCCTGAACACAATGGGTTTCATTTGCATATTTTTGTTATCTAGAGCCCGTAAAGTAACGAAGATCTCTCCATTCTTCTTGCAAACGTGCAAAGTGGGTGGCTGGCGTTCTTTTTCTGCTTCTAGCGCTTCCTGGCACTTATTGAAAGCCTTATTTTCTGGAGAGTATTGTAAAAAGAACTTCATGAGGCGTTTAACAGACTTCCGAACGAACCCTGGTCGCCAGCCATTGATCTTTGCCTCCTCCCTTAATTTCCAGGCCCAGCCGTGACGGCGTGAAACGCTGTCTTTTGTTTTTGGGCATTGCTTGTGTCCGACACCAGGTTGCTTGCTTTTGGTGGGCTTTTGCTTAGGCTTCTGTTCAAGCTTTGGTTTTTTGTCTATGGCTGATTGGTTTAGATTGCTGGATTGTTTTTGGCCGCATTCAAGTTTGAGTTGTGACGGGTGTTGTGCGTTTTTGACCTCGTACAAATCGCGAAGCTCGGAAAACACGCGTGCTAAATGTGGCCGGCACTCATTAGAGTCTTTCTTTATCACACAGAAGTCCTCGGAGGATTTTGGCTTAACGCTGGGGCATGTCGCCTCATTTTTACTAGCTTCGAAAATTTCTCCGCAGAGCTTACGTATGCGGCAATGGGTACACATTTTGCCGCACTTGCACGTGCACTGAACATTACGGCACTCGTCATCATCAACTTGCTTCTTTTTCGACTCGCAGGGGTCAACGCAGTAATCGGACTTTGAATCTTTCGTTTTGCCCAAAAACTCTGCTATTATTTTTTCTGAGGTCAGTTTCGTCTCCTTATGGCGTTCCTCAACGACTGGCATGGGCTTGACCCCGCACGTGGGACAGGTGGCAAATTTTGGAAGCCATGACATATTGGTCAGGCAGACTGGACAAAATCGTGCTGGTTTTATCGAAGGTTTCGGCAAGTCACTGATTGGTACAGGTATCAGCGCCGGATTGCAGAAATCAGGACCCTCATCCTGTCGTGCTGGCATGTACGAAAAACAGGGAACATATGAACGAAGTGGCTGATTGTCCTCCTGAAAATACTGAAAGGGACCACTACAGGGACCGCCCTGTTCCTCTGGTCTCCGGCAAGGCGACTTTAATGGCTTCGGATGGCCAGAGCGCTTGATAATAGAGTCAACAATTTCTTCACACTCCTCCGCCATTCTCTATAATTAAATATAGTTTTAGAAATGCTTTGAAAAGAAACGGATAATACACTGGAGTTGTACCCACCTTAAGCTGACAACATGCGGAATTCTCTACCGGATTGTGAATGAGATTTTCTGCGGGTCTATAACCACCAGCATTCGAGCTTCGATAGCGTGCCATATCCAATTTCAGCAGTTCATCGCCAGCCTCTGGCTCCAAAGCGTCCAGACAAGGATCGCAAGGGCTAGGACATCGCTGTGACTCGCTCACAATAAACATGATGTCCTCCTGATTGATGCATTTGTCTATGTTTCGGCGACATTCGCTCTGCTCTTCACTGTAAAACAAGTTAAGCGTTAGAGCGTGATATACAACTAAAATAAACTATCTGAGAGGTTAACTTACAATGACTGTTCTTCGCATTTAATGATGAGACGGCAAAGCACCTCGAGGTTGCCCATAGATTCCCCTTCTTTTTCGAAATCGCAGGAGCCTACGTGCATCAAATCGGTCATTCCTGCTTCTATCTTATCTATCATGGTTTGAGGGAACATTATTTGACCGGCGCCTATGACCTTAGCGTTGTATGAGACCGTCATCACCATGCCGCACTCCTGAAGATTCGCGCGCATCTTTTTTGGCGCCGCATTTAGCTCGACGCCAGCGCCAGATTTGAACTCGGAAACATTAATGCGGCTTGATGTCAAAGGCACATTTATGTTATTAAAATTGGCGACTATACTCAAATTTGTTGGATAATTAATTTTCACAACGGAAGACTCGAAATGAGTCACGATAATATCGAAAACAAATTTACATGCCATTTTGTTGGTTGGGTTGATTGTTTATGTTTTTATGAGATTTTGAATCTTATCATTGATATCGTATTAATTGGTTTATTACTGATAATTTATGGAGATTTGAAATTTGGCTGGTTCTTTTAAAAAGTGCTAAGAAAACCTTGGTAACGCGGAATTTAAAATTGATAATTTAAAATTTTTAATTTTTAAAGCATATTTACAATACTTAAAATGTTCTTAAACTAAAATTTCTGAAATATAATTCTGTAATAACATGTTAAGTAAAATGCTACTATGATTAGAAATATAACAAAAACTACGATTTATCAAAATATCGAGTATACAGTCATATTTGCTGGACAATTTTATGGAAAACCAATTCGGTAAAATCAAAAGGATACTTTAAAAATTGCCCTCCTTCTATGTGTGCATTTTGTTGAATTAAAGGTTATTCTTGTTAATGCAATGCTTCTGTTCTGTTCATAATAATTGAGCTAAGACATATGCCATAAAGTCAACTAGCGACATAAAGATAGCTAAAGTGATATTTGCCCAACATCGATCTATTGTAGGTTAAACGGAAACATAATTAGATGAGAATCGCTTTTGGCAGTTTAACATAAAAAACAACTTGGCAATATTGATAATAAGTTAAAATTTATTGGCATTAAGTGACCTATGTAAAATGGTCTTGTTTTATGTATTATTTATCATTCCGAAATGCCTGTCTTAAAAGCTTGTCTTATTTGGCGGTAACCTCGTATTTGATTTCTTATAAGCTGCAAGTTGTAGCATAATGAACTGCTCATGTTGATACTTCAAATTCGCAGTCAAGATCCCGGTGTTTCTTAGCAATAGTAGCTGCAAGGAGGACACCACTGAGCACAAGGAGAGTAGCATTGAGTGCACGGATCGTAACCCTTGCCAAGCCGAGCCAAGCTCTCAAATGGTGGAATGCAAATCTGGTTAAGAGCCCGACGCTTGCGCTGTGCATCGGTCAGCCCATCTGGCCCCACGACTGGGCCAGTCTTAGTTTTCACTTTTGGTTTAGGTTCATTGGGGTTCCAGGGCGTGGGAATTGCATCGTGTTTCATCAAATACTGCATTAGGTCAATGCCCCTTTTCTTCCTGTCAATCTCATTCTGCACTGCATCTTTCTCTGCCTGAGCAGCATTCTTCAGAGCCTCAATATAGCGTTTTGGCATTCTTACAGGGATGGGCGCACTAGGACCTGTTGGTTTCTTTTTATCACCAGGAAAAGACTTTCCGCCTGGACTGCCTCTTTTACCATCACCCACACGTCCACCACCTTGTAAAGGCCCACCTGGGCTCGCACCCCATATTCCGTGGGTCTTGGCCCTCCCACCGGGAGTGGCGTATGGTCCATGCGGTCCGCCGCCCCCGTATCCAAAGATGCCATCCTCAAATACGGCTTCACCGGGCCTACCGAACGCTGTGCCCGTGTACCGATCGCCAGCAGCGCAGTCATAGGCGCGCCAGTAGGGACCAACTTCTATGGGATATTTTGGTGGGGCTTTGTCTTTCGGATTTGTCTGTGTACTCAAGGTGACAGTACGAGGTTTTACAGATAGCTGGGGCTTTGCCACGCCTGCTGGCGGGGTCACATCAAAATCAAACTCGACCTCACTGTCACTGGTGTCGGTGAGCACCAAATGATCCACGCAGTTTTCCATTCCTCGCCGTTTACACTCCTTTTGCAGTTCTTCTTCAAGATTTTTCTTTTCAAGCATTTTGCGACACACGCACAACATCACAGTTTTGTGGCAAACACATTTGCGGTAGCCCTTGTCCTTGAGCTTCTTCTTGATCTCCCTGAGGGCCACGGCAAGATCGCTTTTGACTATCCTGAATACAATGGGTTTCATTTCTATATGTGGATTATTGACGGCACGCAATGTTATGTATATTGCGCCATTTCTCTTGCACACGTTGAGAATAGGAAGCTGCTTTCTTTTTGGTCTTTCAGCCCGCCGACAGGTGTTAAATGCATTATTGTCTCGGGAGTATTGCAAAAAGAACCTCATTACGGTTCCAGCATACCGACAAATGGCTCCTGGGCGCCACCCATATTTGCGCGCTTTTTTGGTCGATGGCCACGCCCAGCCGTGTCGACGGGAGACAAAGGGTTGAGGCCTAAGACAAGTCTTATGGCCAATTTTTGGGCCATTCGATGTCCGCTGCAAATAGCTCGGACTACTATGTGCGTTCTGTATGGCGCCCGTTAGTGCTTTCTTAGCCAAGTCCACTGTCTCTTTAGGTCCCAACGTTGGTTTCGAACGCTTCTGTAATTCAGCAGTTTTATTAGCCTCCCTTTCGCCGTAGAGATCTCGAAGCTCGCCGAATACACGTTCTAAATACGGGCGACATACCTCGGACTCGACTACTACACAAAAGTCCTCATTTTGATCAGGCGTAACGCTGGGGCACTTTTCTTGGTGAACGCGCGGTTTGAGCATGTATGCGCACAAATTGCGAATGCGACAATGAGTACAAACTATATTATTCTTGCAGGTACAGCGCTTGGAGACATCTGGCTCCTTTTCATCATCTTCGACTGATTTTGCAGGCAGTCGGAGAAACTCATTCATAATTTGGTCGGCCGTGAGCTTTTCGCCGGGTATAGTCTCTATTTGTGGCATGGCTTTAGTACAGCATTTAGGACAGGGAAAGTATTTGGGCAGCCACGACATTGGAGTGAGGCAAACAGGACAGAAACGTATGGACTTTATTCCAAACTCGTCAATGTCCCCAGTAGGAATGGCTATCGAGCGATCTACATACTTTTGTGGGAAGTTTCTCTGTTTTCCGCTCCAGTCCGTGATAACAAGATCCTTATTTAGGTTCGACGTAGTTAAACGAGTTGCATTCTTCACAACCGATTCGATGATTTCTCCGTAATGCTTCGTTATAGCTTGTAATTGGCAGCATGCTTCCGTGCCACAAATCTCTCTCGTAGGTGGCTTAGTGACTCTCTGGTTTAAGCTGGGATAGCGGTTTAGATCCAACTTAAGTTGCTCATCACCTTCCTCTTGCTCCAGCTCATCCGCGCACGGTTCACAAATCTTGGGGCAGGGATCGGGGTCGCCCACTACAAACATGATGTCAGCCGCATTAATAGCCCTTGCCAGGTTGCCGCAGCTCTTATTGCAGGGTCTGTGGAAATCAAAACAACTTGAGCTATTAACAATTATAAGTGGTGCCAACTTACTCTGGCTGTTCGGCTTGCTCCAAGCACTTGGCAATTAGTATGCAAAGAATCTCTATAGTTCCCACCTCGACTCCACGGCGTTCAATGCTACATGTGTCTGCATGTAGTTGGTCACTCATCCCATCCTCAATGCTATCGATAAAGTTCTGGGGAAATTTGATACGCGCGTTCCCTAAAGAGAGCCCACTGTATCGCACAACGATCGGCAAGCCATCAGCCTCCAGGTTTTGGCGCATTGTATCGGGTTCTGTTGAGAATTCAATGCGGCGTCCAGATTGGAATTCGCTCACATTTATACGGCTCGCTGTAACGTTAATTGACATTTTATTAAACCTAACATTAACCGCTAGGCTCTGCGGATTGTCGATTTTATCTTTGTACATTCGCAAGCGAGTTACAATAATGTCAAAAAGGAAGCAGACTTTAGTTTGTTTGGGTTGATCTTCCTCCATTATGCTTGCACCTCAACAATTTTTTTCCGCCAAATTTATTAGTAAAATAAAAATAATAATAAAATAAAAAAACAAAAATTAATGAAAGTAGTCTTTACGCACGAAGCCAAGATTGAAATATGAAATATATATGTAGTATATGTATATATCATGACTTAAAATGCTGATCCAGTTGTCTGGTATTCAGTTGAAAAGAAATTACCTTTTTTGTTGTATTGAACCTTTCTATACTAGCTGATACACAAACTAATAAGAGCGAATGCCAATCTTCGAGAATTATATAAAGTCTGGTCAAGTTATATTAAAAAGCTTATTTTTCGATCGAATCTTGCTATGGAACTATAGGTTATAGTGGTTCGATACGGGTGACTTCGATATATGCTTCGCAGACAGAAATAAGAATGAGCAACTGGCGAGATGCATAAATTAATATTACATATTCTCGTATACTCATATACTCTTTCACAAGGGGAAGTCTACATATAAGATAGATGTATTTGTAAGTTATGCGTCTTGCTATCCGCGCACCTAAGCGATTTAAATCTTATATCGTATTATTGTAAATACCCGCGTCAGATAACGTGCTTAGTTTTATAGGCACGAAGGGGACATAAAAATTAGCCCCTTTAAAGATCTATCAAAAAATATTTACGCAGTACGTGGTTCCCGATTGCCACATTCTTACCCGTTTTATTTGGTATTTTATTTACTTACTAGATTTTAGCTAATTAATTAATTGGCCAGCGTCTGCTCGGTGGCATCCTTTTAATTGCACAAAATTGATATTGATAATTTTGATTTGGTTTAAGGACATTGGCTGTTGCGATGTTTACTGTGTCGCCCACTTATGTGGCAATGCACTTGGCGGCTTCCCAAATCCCAAAGTCCTGCCAAAACACTCCGAACAAAACCCCAAACCAATTTCAGCGCGTTAAATTTATCGCATCAGCTGCCTTTGATTTGCTTATAAGCGGCTTAGCACGCAATGCGCTGTTAACACACGCCACACCCACCACATGTGTATGGCTCTCGGGCCTCTAAGTATGCTACATTATTTCACCTCATGCACTTATCTAAATTAAGTTCAATTTTAATTAAATTTCGCGCATTAATTTGACGTTCATCAGGGCGCCGCGTGTTTACTAGTTGCATAGGCGCCCAACTAAGCCAATAAAATTTAGAAATCAGCATGGCGCAGTTTTCCATATTTACGAAAAACTGCTGAATGGCAAATATTTGGGTAAAGCTAGGTATGCTTTATGGCAAACTATGGCGATTTAATTGGATTTTAATGATTGCATGTTGGGCGCAGGCGCTTATGTTCAATTCGCTAGCCTACATTATAGTAGCAACAAATAACAAAAGAGTTGAGCTTGGCACAGATCATTAATTTGTGTGTTCTTTTTTTATGGTTGGCATATTTTTAGCAGATTGTTATATGTAATTTGTTAAGGTCAAAACGTGGCAAAGCAGAAAACATAAAAAATTTGACCTATAGATGAGGTAAAAAGCTTAGCTTTAAAGGTTAAAACGAAACGGATTCCCCGCACTCGCTAGTTGTCCACAGGCTCTTATCGGAACAAGTTTCCTATAGGCTTCTTAATTTGCCTGAGTTGGGTTGGCCTATGGTCAGGTACATATCTCTCTCTCTCTCTTATCTCTCCCGCTTAATATATCTAAAAACACCTTGGATAATCAAGCGTCGGCTCGTGCCTTCACACCTGACTTCGGGCCAGCTCTTGCTGTTGTGACACCTTTGACCCTACACCCTTCCTCGATTGCAAGCCTCAACGGACTTAACGAAAATAATCAATATGCTCTATTCGCAACTTTATGATTAATGTTGGGTTAATTTGATATATAATTAGCTCAATTATTTGAAATCAATGCTTAATTATAAGGATCTCAAAGTTGACATATTTTCTTGACTTATTAATATTATTTTCTTCTACTTTTTAAATGTTAGTCTTTATCATCATTTTGAGCTTGATTGATTAATCTTGGCCTTACAAGGATATACACATTGATGTTTCACACGTGAATTAATGTAAAATACATTCATTTATGAAATCGTCTTTTAGTAAAATTTTTCTGCGACATACTTAACTGAATACATGATTTTACCAAAATGCTCTCAAATCTTAAAAGCTACATTTATTCATTAAAACTTTATATATATTACATGCGACACTGCAACAATCCTAACTGTATAAATGAATGCAAGCGATTGCAATTTAATGCAATGCATTTGATGCATTCAATTTTAAATGAACTTACGAACTAAAATACAATTAATGTTCAATTTATAAATCCTAAATAATTTTTTAATAATAAGCCTATTAAAGCTTTCTTATAGACCTACATATTCTTAGATATACAGCTATATGTTTTAAATTAAGGTGGCTTCATGATTGAATCAATTTAAATACCTTTATAGAGGTTAGCACACCTTTGTCATGAAATGTGTAACGTATTAAAGTTGGCAATTGAAGAACCAATTATATCATATAGCTGCTAGATGGAAACATTTTTGGTGTCTTATGGATATATATATACGAAACTTATTAGCATCGGTCTAAAATATTATATAGAGAGATATCTTCACCAGCCCGTAAATAATTTCTTAAACTATACTGCTTATATATGAGTTTTATAAAAATCGCACTACTATATGTAGCTCTATAGGAAGCATCATTCAAAAAATTATTTTTCAAGATATTTTCGTCGAAACATAACTGCAAAACCATAAGGCAAACTATTACAAGGGTATTGAATCGTCGGCGTGCCGAATGTATTTTTTCCTTCTCGTTATTATTAATAAAGTGCACTTATATTTTTGTTAAAGTGTGTTAGTTACCACTCCCCCTCCCCCATCGAGCACAGTCAGGACTACTCGCTCTGATTCCCTCATGACCATAGTCTTGTGCGTGAAGGTAAGCAGATGTTCAGATCTAAAGGTTTTTCGATTATTCGGTTCGAAACGCACGCACCTCGCTAACCTATGACCCCATTATTCTACATTCTACCTCGTAATTGTAGTTTTTAAATTAAAGCAATTTGTAAAAATATTGTACTATATGTGTTACATTCTCTGTCCGGTAAAAAGTGCTTTCGATGAGAAGACCCCAAAGGCACTTCTACCTTTCTGATCGAGTGGATATTATTGTTAATGAGCATGCCCGACAAAAATCAATGACCTAAATGCATTATTCTGGTGTACTGCTTTACTACACTTAAACTTTACTATATCAGAATCGACTGTACCAGCTGGCAAATTTTCTATCTGGGTTGAAAGATCTTTTTAAGAAAGAGTAACTAGCCTTGAGAAAAGAAGTGTTTATCCATTGATTGGATGGCAACTTACAAAACTATTTGGTAAATAAATGATGAAGACAATCTATGCAATTAAAGTGTGATGGAGAGTAGATGGAATATATTCTCCCTATGAAATATCGCAGACAGCACTATTAAGACGAGTTCGGCTTTAAAAAGTAGCAAAGTGTGGTAGCCACTTTTGTGAAATTCACTCCCACTTCACCGCTGCAGTAGCATTATCAATAAGAAACGCTTGCTTTCTGCACCTTGCCCTATTGGATTGTAAATATCTAGGCGCCCAAAAGAGAATATAGATTGGGGTGAATTTAGTCTCGATCAGGACAACGAGATCAGGTCTGTAGGTTTGAAATTTGAAATATAGAGCGAGTTTATTTTTGGTCGATATAACGTCCCACTTCCAAACTGTCTATATGTTAATTTGTCTCACGTTTTGCATACTTCATTTTAATCAATATTGGAAGAAAGATGAGTTTTAAAACTATAGCCGTAGTGTCCTTATAAATTGATGATAAGACAGCCTAAGCATAAGCATTTTAAAATTCAAATTGAACTTTGACGATTTGAGGGATTCATTAAAATAGCAGACAAAATTATAAAATAAGCTAAAATGTCTTATTTAAACAATAAAATCGTTTACATTGAATAAAATAATTTCATAACAATGAATTGGTGTTTAGTTCCCCGTCAAGTTGCGACTGCCTGCAGTGTTTATTATTTTCAACATCCTTCTTATTGTAAAGAATCCTCAGCTCGGATAACACAATTTGTAGATGTGTACGGCAGGTAGGAGGTGATCCGTTGCACTTGAATAAAACGCAAAAGTCCTCATCTGCTTTGGGCTTGATTTCTGGAATATGTAACCTCGATGATATGAAGATGTCTGAACATAAATTGCGGACTCGACAATGAGCGCACATTTTGCCCAACTTGCAGGTACAGCGACTAGTATGCTTGGTGTTCTCAATATTTTCCTTATCCGAAAGTCTATTGGCAGCTTGATGAGGCTCTTCAGCATACTGATTTATAATTAGATCGGCCGTGAGCTCATCCTTAGATTCACTTTTAAGTTCTGGCAGGGGCTTGGCCCAGCATCTAGGACAACAAGCATATTTAGGCAGCCAGGACATAGAGCACAAGCAAATGGGACAGAAACGAATGGGTTTAATGCCCATGTCTTCCATGTCTACCGCAGGAACAGGTATTGTGCATGGTGCTCTTGTAGAATTGTAGATAATTGGTGTCCGGTCCCTGTTTGTACTGTGAGTATGCTCAACTAGCTTGGGTGAAGACAATTGGGCAATCCGCTTGATAACCGAGTCGATGATTTCTCCGCATTTCGCCGTCAGATTCTTTAACTGGCTGCACGCCTGCATGGCACTTGTATCCTCAGGTGACTGGGTGACGCGCTGGTTAAAGCTGCGATACCGATTAAGATCCCATCTGAGTTGCGCGTCGTCTTCTTCTTCTTTCAGCTCATCTGAACACGGTTTGCAAGGTATTGCGTCGAGTTCTGGCTTGTCTACTAAGAACATAATGTCAGCCTGATTAATCTCCTCGCCCCGGTGCTCGCACGCTCTAAGAGCCAATTATGAATCAATGGTGAGCGATAGACAAGCTCAAGTGATGCTTAACTTACTCTAAGCCCAGCGCTTCGCCTTCGCACTTGATGATTAGGCGACACAGCAGCTCCACAAAGCCCACTTCTGTGTTGCGGCTTTGAATGCAACATGTATCTGCGTG